TATATATATATATATATATATATATATACACACACACACACACACACACATATAAATGTCTGTAATTTATTTCACATTCGCATTAATATATTATTTTTAAATATAGAATTAATATAATTAAATATGATTTACACAGTTTTACATAATCATACATCATATATATTCTCATTTCTGTCTGTAAGGTGCAATTATAATGCAAGTAATTCTTTTACTATTTCTTTTACTGAATTGTTAATCAAAACATATCTATGGAATTGTAGAAAATTAATCAAAACATAATAAAAAACGTAATATAAAAAAACATTGTGTCCAGATAGAATGAGAATGACACTTTTTTTGTATTACAAAAATAAGAAATTCAGGGAAAATGTCAGTGAAAAATAAACTGTACTGCCTTAAAAATAGGCTTCATTTCCTTATATGCAAATATTTACTTTATGCAAATTATACATACATTATTTATTTAATTTAATTTTAGTATCAAGTATGAACTGCACAATTTCTTCAGTTTGATCTAATGCAGACTACTGTACCAGACAAACTAAAGCTGGACTCATGTAGGTCTCTCACTCCCCCGTGGCGCGTGCAGGGTCGTGGGTTCATGTCCCCATCTGAAGGGCCCACTTCCTTCTTCCCTGAATTCTGCACTGCAGCTACGTCTCCAGTGTAGGGCGCACGCTCCACCCCCTTGAGTGCTTGACACTGAGAGGAGAGGGTCACAAACAAACAGTCGAGGCACTGCGATACGCAGTCATAAAAACATGATATAATGGAGTGAGAGTTTAAGTTTGAGTACCTTCTCCCTCTGGACCATTTTCTTGTACAGGTAGTCTGGGAAGGTTCGGAGAGGGTAGAACTTTCCTGAGCCCTCAGCACAGGTGAAGATGCCATTTTCATAGACCACGCGACCACGGCTGATGGTTACCAGCGGGACGCCGTGACAGCGTAGGTTCTCGTACAGATTTACATCTCCACCCTGCCATTGAGTGGTCACAGAGATGGTCCTACAGACACAAAACCATGTAAAAACATGTCATTTCATTTTGCAATACTTGGTATATTAAATATTTTTGAATTCTCAGCTGATCTGAATTTAATTCATTATTTTGGATACCTTGTTGATTCTGGATCCCAGACGACCACATCAGCATCGGCTCCAGGGATGATCCTGCCCTTCCTGGGGTAAAGGTTGTAGATCTTTGCAGCATTGGAGCTTGTGACAGCAACAAACCGATTCTCATCCATCTTGCCTCCGACCTATTAAGAAAGATAGATAGAATGAGCTAAAAAAGTTTTTTTTTATTCTTGATGCATCTGTCATTTCCTGTCCTCTCCATGATTTTTTTTTTGTCTTTGGCAACATAACTGTCTGTAATATGAATGTTATATTAATATTAATACAATATTGTTATATAATTTATAACTTATTATATATTATTTATATACACTACCATTCAAAGGGTCAGAAAGATTTTTTTAAAAGGAACAAATAATTTTATTCTGCAAGGATACATTAAATTGATCAAAAGTGACAATAAAGACATTTGTTACAAAATAAATATTCAAATAAATGCTGTTCTTTTGAACCTTCTATTCAGCAAAGAATCCTGAAAAAAAAAATGCAGCAGTTACCAAAACAAATATTAAGCAGCACAAGGTTTGACACTAAAGACTCAGGAATCATCACAGGAATAAATTAGGTTTGAAAAAAAATAAAACAGTTATTTTAAATTGCAAACTGTTGTTTGCACAGTATTTTTGATTAAATAAAGGAATCCAAATAATTGGTGAGCATAAGTAACTTTCAGCATACTAACTGCAAGTATTAATGATTATCATGACTTTCACCCACTGAATTCGCTGAATTAAAGACTGTTTTTAAAATCACAATTTGCATACGATCAGTACTTTCCTGTCAGTGTTTTATGAAGTATTATAAAAGATATTATAAGTATTACAAAAATGGTACATCAGACTTGTCTTTATTTTCAAAGTATTCATTCATGCATACATTTTAGCCTAATACTGCTCACAACCATTAAGGAAGGGGTTTACAATAATTCTGTCAACTGTTAATAGTAATAATTCAAATAATTGTTAGTTTTTCATAAATACATTTCGCATCAAAATGTATTTAAAGTTAATCATTACAGCAGACTAAGTAGGTGAAAGTCAGGTAATAAATGAACATTCATGATATCCATTAATATTCACATCTGGTTGGTGTTCATTTGTTTACATTTATGCAAACAAATAGAAGCGTTTAATAGAATTCCTTTTAGCTGCAGGATCAAAACCGGTACAAAAAAATCATCAACTTTCACAAGTACTGGCTATACAAACGTTGATATTGAGATGATTCTAGCCAGCAGTGTGGCTTCTGTGATTCACTGAAACATACCACTCCCCGCTCCCAAATAACGCTCATGCGGTCCTGCACCCCAGGAACACCGTGAGGGATTTTCGTGAAGTCGTCTTTGCCCATCGCCTTCTGTTTAGTGGTGAATGGTCGGTGGTCCGATGTCACGACGTTCAGAGTGTCACTACATCACAGTGAAAATACTTTTATGAGACTATACAGGTATATGATTAAATGAAACTACTACATGGTGAATCCGCTTACTTTCCCAGAAGGCTGAGCAGGTAATTGGGTGTGTTGGGGTCGAGTCTGAGTGGTGGCACAGTGACGAAAGCAGCTGCGTGGGCCCAGTCCTGGTGGTAGTACTGCAGCCCGTTTAAGACAGCATGAGCAGTGGTGGTCTCTCCATGCACCACTTTCCCTGTCAACCAATCACGGTTCAGTATTCTGAGTCACATTATGTCATTTACTGGTGAATCTTCAGGTGTCATATATTAAATTAAAATGGTGCGACTGTGAATTGGCCTTTGAGTGTCATTGCCTGGCTCTTACCCTGCATTTTAGCGGATGCTAAAACATCCCCTGCTGACATGCTGGACACATTCACAAGATATATGGGACAGTGGGCCTAAGAGACAACAAACAGAAAACATTCATTCTGATGACATTTAAAGTCCTTAAAAGCAATTCATCGGTAACTCATATGTATGTTTCAAAACTGTCATTCGTTGCATAGTAACGCTGGGTCGACATGTCAATCATGCTGCTTATCTTGACATTCTGTTTATACTGCATGTGCAAAATACAGTATGTAAATATGCTTCAGCTGTGAAATAACAGTAAAGGAAGTGACTCAAAGTACACTTTTGTTTAAAAGTTTGGGATTTTTTTGAATAAATGAATACTTATTTTCAGCAAAGACGCATTAAAGTGATCAAAAGTGACAGTCAAAGCATTTATGATGTTGCAAAAGATTTATATTTAAAACAAATGCTGTTCTTTTGAACTGTCTATTTGAGAATCCTAAAAAAAAGTATCATAGTTTCCACAAAAATATTAAGCAGCATGACTGTTTTCAACATCATAAGATTTAATAATAAAGATTTTTGTTTCTGTTTTTGAAAGAAGTCACTTATGCTAAGGCTGCATTTATTTGTTCAAAAATACAATGAAAACAGCAATATTGTGAACTATTATTAAAATAACTGTTTTCTGTTTTAATATATTTTAAATATAATAATTTATTCCTGTGATGCAAATCTGAATTTTCAGCATCATTACTCTTCAGTGTCGCATGATCCTTCAGAAATCATTCTAATATGATGATTTGCTGCTCAAGAAACATTTCTTTTTATTAGCAATGTAAAAAAAGTTTGTGCTGCTTAATATTTTTAAACTATGATACATTTCTTAAAGGATTTATTGCTAAACAGTTCAAAGCTAAAAAAAAAAAACAGCAGAGAATAGAAATCTTCTGTAACTTTATAAATGTCTTTACTGTGATCAATTTAATGAATTCTTTATCTATCTATTTTTTTTTTTTTTTTTCAAAATCTTACTGACCCCAAACTTTTGAATGCCATTTAAACACTTATGCATTTACTGCCATTATTTCAGTCTGCTAACTTCAATCCCCCGCTCTCTCCATATCAAACATGCAAAAAGTCTCTGATTGTTACGATTTCTGATTGGCTGAAAAGTGCAGACTGGCCCACTGACTTTTTGCTGTTTGCAACATCCTCAGGGCTGTAGGAAAACTGTCATATTACTGAATTAGAGCAGATCTGCAATTCGTTTTCAGTGTTTGCATTACCCATGTGTTTTAATTCTGAAATGTACATCATACTCACTCTGTTAGCGATGGTAATGGCTCGATGGATGGCCTCTGCTTCCAGCTACACAAGGAAAATTCCCAAGGTAAGTGAGAAAACACAAATGTCACCATTGAAACCTAATGGTGAACAGACGCCTAAGAGTATTAATAATCCATGGAAATGCAATATGGAGACAGGAAAGACTAGGAGTTGGAGAGAGAGTGGCAATGTGACTGATATCTTAAAGGAAAACAATTTCATGGTCACACAAATCACAGGATTTGAATGATTACTTTACCTCATCAGGTCTGCTTATCTCAATGCCCTCTGGTCCACTAATACCCAGATCCAATGCTTCTCTGGCACCCTAGTGTGGATAAATTAAAGCATGCGATAGCATGATAAATAACAACTACGCAGGAAGAAAGACAGAATCCTACCTAGACAGCATTTTAAGTCACCGTCACAGCATTATGCCAACATTATTCTTAATTATGGCCAAAATAAAGGCAGCATCACATACACTACCCTTCAAAAGTAAGGTCGGTAATTTCACATAACACTGATAATTATTGATAAAAGTGAATAGTGCTACTTGTAATGTGTGAAGCTGCTGCCTGTATACAACTCACTAGGTTTTGGAGGAAAACCTGTTCATTATGGTTTTGCACCAGTTCCCTGATTTATACCTCCGCAACCAGCTCTCCATTCTCCGCATGGACGCGGGCCACAGCACCGATGTCCTTACAGTTCTGCAGGGCCTGAAACAGCTCGCTGTCCCTCAGCATGTACATGTCCTTATATGCCATGAACATCTGGAAGGAGTTCACCCCTCTGTCCCGCACCAGTGTCTCCATTTGAGCCCTAACCTGTGATGAAGTCAAGTCACCTTTATAGCTCTATACAATACATATTGTCAAAACAACGATAAGCATCAATAGCAAATAGCAAATCAATTACGACTATGGAGACAGTTAAGATTATGCCGTAAAGCAGCTCTATATAGCTCTACGTTATAGTAGAACTATAAATTAAACTAAAATTTTTTAGCACATTTTCCTGTTTCTGTAATTATAGAAAGTTTACATACTCTGCAAACATAGACTTCATACCGTTGGTCCCCACCAGGTCACTCCCACATGAAGAGCGTAGTCACAGCAGGCCTTGGCATCAGCGTGAGAGCGGCACTTTTCATAAGCGTCCAGCAATAATTCGTTCTTTTCTGGCAGCACATGACCAATCACCATAGTGGTGCCTCCAGCAAGAGCAGCCTGAAAGTAAACAAACAACAGACCGACTGCTGCGGGATCTATACAGCATCACTACCTATCACTCTTTAATGGGTTTAATGGGCTGACGACAACATAACATAACAGCGACATGTTCACAAAAGCTTTGCATGAAATGAAACGTTACATAACAGCACTCAGAAAACATGAATCAAGGTTAAATTAGACCTGTATTTGAGAACTGTAATCAAAGGCATTCTGAATAGTTGCTAAGCCATTGCTGCATAGTCACTAGGGTGTTCTGGGTGGTTGTTTATGGGCATTTATTTGCATTTACATTTATTCATTTAGTAGACGCTTTTATTCAAAGCGACTTATATGCTGTTCTGTTCATTATTAAGGTGGTTGTTAGGTCATTGCTGTGGTGTTTTGGTGGTTGCTAGGGTGCTCTCAGTGTTGCTAGGGTGCGCTGGTGGTTGCTAAGGAAATGCTAGGCTGATTTAAGGTGTTCTGCTGGTTGCTAAGGCAAAACTAGGCTGTTTGGATGCCTTGGTAATTACTAAGGCATTGCTAGGGTGTTGTGGATGGCAGTGAGGGTGTTGCTAGGATGTTTTGGTGGTTACTAGGTCATTTCTGGGGAGTTCTGGTGGTTGCTAGAGAATTACTAGGCTGATTTAATGTGGTCTACTGCTTGCTAGGGCATAGCTAGGCTGTTGTTAGGGTGTTATGGGTGGCTGCTAGGTGTTTATATGATGTTCTTGTTATTACAAAGGCATTGTTCTGGGTGGTTTCTTCGGTGATGCTAGGACGTTTTTTTTCTAGGTCATTGCTAAGGTGATATGGTGATTGATAGGGAATTGCTAGGCTGTTTTAGGGTGTTCTAGAGGTTGTAAGAATGTTGTGTTTGTTCCTAGGGTGTTCTGGCTGTTTCTACGGCATTACAGCCATTACTAGGGTGTTCTGGTGATTGCTGTGATGCTCTGATTGTTGCTAGGGAATTGCAAGGCTGTTTTTAAGGAGGTCTGGATGTTTTCTAGATCATTGCTAGGGTAATCTGGTGGTTTTCATTACTAGGGTGTTCTGATCATTGCCAGGGTGTTATAAGGATCTTCTGGTGGTTGCTTTGATTGTTACTAGAGAATTGCTAAGCTGTTTTTAAGGTGTTATCATGGTTAGGATGTACTGATTGTTTCTAGGTCCTTGCTAGGGTGTTCTGGTGGTTGCTAGGATGCTCTGATTTTTACTACAATAGGGTGTTCAGATGGTTTCTAAGGCATTATGGGCAGGCCCGGTTCTACGGGGGTGCTAGAGGGTGCTAACGAAAAATCAACAGCAATATTGACGAAATCAATAGCACCCTCAGTTAATGCTCTAATAATGGCATTTCATTGCAGATTTGGCAAACTATCCAGTGCTTTATGGGTTGCGCTCTGGAGATTGATTTCTATTCAACGTGTTTGTGCAGCGTTGAGCAATGTAGCCAATCACAGACATATCTGTTGATTTCTTGAACCCAACTGCCAATCATAGGCTTTTAAGCTAGAATCCACTCACCACTTAAATCGCTGCAGTATTTGTTCAGGTGTTGTGTTCAGCACGAATCATCTCATTATAACAAAGTGTAGATGCAATGTAAATAAGAGATTCATTGTGCAGCGTAGAGAACTTCATGATTATAACGTAACTTTGTGAGATCGCAATGAACTAAGATGAGTGACCGCTTTTAGTGATTATAAAGGGAACGCTCTTGCGCCATAGCAATGGACGGCACAAATATATATATATATATTCTAGGTCATTGCTTGGGTAATCTGGTGGTTGCTAGGGAATTCCAAGGCTGTTTTAAGGTGTTTTGGAGGTTTCTAGGGCATTACGGGCATTACTAGGGTGCTCTGGTTGCTGCTGTGATTATTCCTAGGGCATCGTAAGTGTTTTCTGGTGGTTGCTAGGGCATTGCTAGGCTGATGTTAGGGTTTTCTGGTGGTTACTGGGGAAAGGCTGTTTTAAGGTGTTGTTCTGGTTAGGATATACTGATTGTTTCTAGGTTCTTTGCAGGGTCGATCTGATTGTTGGAAGGGAATTACAAGGCTGTTTTTAAAGTGTTTTGCTGGCTGCTTGGATGATCTGATCATTTCTAGGTCATTGCTAGGGAATTCCTAGGCTATTTTAAAGTGCTTTGGCAGTTTACAGGCATTACTAATGTGTTCTAGTGGCTGCTGGGATGATAATTTTTAGGGCATTGTTAGGCTGTTCTGATGGTTGTTTAGGGTGTTCTATAAGTCTATAGGAGTTTCAAGTCTTTAGCAAAGACACTGTTGGTTATCCACCAAAATATTATACAATAATAATATGAATTGCTCATAATGGCTTACCCAACTCCACTAATTAATATCCCACAATATCTGTCTGAGCATAATGTTTTACAGAAAAATACACAATTAGTAGAAGGCCTTTTTTCAGTACAAGGAAACAATGATTAACAGTTCAACCACAAAAAATGGTCCTCTTTAAAAGCATCTCTCAGCTGACACAATCCGGGCAGCCACATCCACTGAAGGGGCATGTATTTATGCACCATTGTCTTCCAGCACAATGGCACGAGTGAAAGGCTTTTGCAGCAGTCTTTGCAGCAGTGCTCCCGTATCTATGGAAACAGAATCTGATCTCCATTTGTCTCTGTGCCTGGCGAGTCTTATGGCGGTAGCGGGGAGGAGGGGGAAGAGAATGCCACTTGTGTTGCCAAGGCTAACAATAACAGCGCCGATAACAACTCTTTATTATTTGGAATGAGAGCGTGTATGTATTTGTGAGGGTGAATCGTGCCCTGCGGTTGATGGACCAGACTGTGTGTGTGTGCAATGCTCACTCTTGCATCTCAGTGTCTGCTAAGTGACCCATGGGATTTATTTAGGCAGGGCTGCTGAAGCGAGTGCATCTCTGCTTTTGAACTATTTATAAAACAAGAACAAATGAATGTGACATTAAATGGATGCTACATCACACATCATTTTAGTTTAGATCTTCCACTGTATAAAAACGCTTATCTGAAATAAGAAAAAACTCATATTGCATAACATACTGTAGTCATATAATGCAAAAAAAATAAAATAAATCAAAATACATTTTTGAAAAACTGTATAATACTCTAAGCAGTACTACCATAATAGTTACTTCTGAGGAGAAGAACTTACTGAGTTGTTGTGAGATAGACCCCTGGCAGATGGTGGGAGCCACCCAAGGTGTGGGGGGTCCGAAGTCAAAAAATCAATCTTTTGCTTCTGCTTTTTCTCTATATACCCCAACTGGAACCACTTCATATCATCTTAGTAGTGACAAAGCTGAAGCCTGAAGACATTTGAATAACCTCCCTTCTTTTACATTAGATTGAGCTAATCTACAAAAAATAAAACCTACATACAGGGAAAAAATAAGATATTGGGGTTTATTAAGAATTATTAAACTTAGTAATTTGTTCCCTTGCTTTCAGTAAATGGTGGTCATAATTTACCTAAATTAAAATGAGGGAACAAATTAATAAAACATTGCCACTAATTAAGTTTTGGTAATAAATTCCTAATTTGTGGCCACAATTTCTGTTTTATCCCGCATGCTACATGTGATACTGCGTACTAATGAGACAATACAAAACATGATATTTCTGGGCCTTTTTTTTGTGACAGTTGAGAAGGAAAAGAAAATAACTTTGCTGTAAGAAGGGATGGGACTAGGGATATGCCGGTATCAAATTTTCATGTTGCGATTAATTGCTAATGCTTTTATCACGGTATACGGTATTATCACGATATTGAAATTTAGTTGAAAAAAAGTGCTGTCATAATACAGTATAACAGGTTTAATAACTTTTTTCTTATAACAAAAATAACTGAACATTTAAATGCAATAAAGCAATACAGAAAAATGTATATTACCGTGATATATCGCATTACCGAATACCGGCACAAGTCTAGATGGGACTGGTATGTGGCACATGCCCAGTTCAAACCTGTTTTCCACATGAGCACCATGGCACTTGAAGAATTTACGAATTTACTGTTTAAATTAATTAGATATTATTTTAGAGGGGAATCAAAATATTCATAACCATGGCAACAGTGGTACAGTTAGCTAGTCGAATATGATTATCAGTCAACGTAAATCAGTATTTTACATCTGTAATGTGACATATTTCCAAGCAGTGTTGGTTAAGTTACTTTCAATAAGTAATGAATTACTAATTACATCATCAATATTGTACTTAAATTACTTTTCTAATTACTCTGTCTGAAAAGTAATTTAATTACTCAATAAGTAACTTAATTACTCGAATCGTTAATTACATCTTAAAATCCATATAAACCTTGATGCATAGACAATAGAAATGAAAATCTTTATTATTTCAATTTGAGTCAAACAATAGTTTAGCCTTTTAGCTTTAAAGGGGTCATATGATGCTGCTAAAAAGAACATTATTTTGTGTATTTGGTGTAATGAAATGTGTTTATGCTGTAACACTCAAACATTTTAATAAAAAAAAAAATGTAACATTCTTTGGTTAACAAATTACTCTGCAAAATATCTGAATAACAAAAAAGCTTAAGAAAGGTTAAACATTACATGTATCAAGCTGTAAGCAATAAACTTTTTAAAGCAATGAGTACCATATATCATACACACTGACATAGTGTACATATATTGGCAGTCACTAATACTAATTTTGCCTACTTCTAACAAAAAAACAACATGATTTTGTACTGTCATTCATGCACATATGCTTTGTATTACAATATATAAACAACTTTCTGATATTTTATAGACTAAATTCTTATTGCTTAGCACATTATAAACATCGACATCTGATAGTAGATCAGCAAACACTGATCTAAACATTCCTAGACTGTAACATTCATCATGCTGCAGTGTAAACATTCACATTACTTTATATCTATATCGTATTATATCTCATATTCTTATTATATGATAGCAAAATATTTACATCCTCGTATCATACGACATTTAGCCTATATGAAATAAAAAGTTGCCTATATATCTGAATGTATATCATATTTCAGCATATTTCACTCACTTTCACACATTTCAGTTTGGCAAGACAGTTTAAAGCCCAACTAGTAAAATTCGTACATAGATACAGATATGGCTGCAGATAATGAGCTAAAATGGGAAAGACTGGGATTCTGGGATTCCTCGTGTTGGTTTCATACGGATTACATAATCAGAGAATATTCGTTTTCGATTTGAATTGGTTCTTTTAAAAGTAGACACTTCAAGTTTTCTATACACATATTTCTCACGTCTGTGTGTCAAATATTCGCCGTGTTTTAGTTAATTTTTGTGATGCGTTTCAGAAAGAAGTTCACGGAGACCGAGTTGGCTGAAAGCGCACCCTGTTTGTTTTGTTTATTTTACAAAGACACAGTGTTTTGTTGTTATTGTGAGTGTACACATAAAAGTAGACCCTTCACAGATTCGATTGATATCTTAGTCTTCTCTGTATCTGAGTATTTTAGGGTCTTTTCTCTGTTATCAGTAGGGCTGGGTATCGAGTTCGATACTTTTTAGGCACCGACCGAAATGACTCGATACCATCGACTATCGAAAAACGTCTCGTCGTTCGATACCAAATTTCGATACCTAAGGGGTTAATCTCATCAGCGTCAGTGAGCCAATAAGTCTGCAGCACTAGCCGGTTTTTGAACGATACCCAGCCCTAGTTATCAGGAAAAACTGCAAGTGAACGCACCGACGTGCAGAAGGTTAAAGAGGCTGCATTCAGAGATAAATGTAGATTTCAAGGTGGGACTTGATTTTATCCACGGGGAATTGGATGGATTTTTAAAAGACAAGGTTGTTGGAGGAGAGGGATTGAAAAATTAGGTCTTGATGATGGAGCAACACAAACTTTTTCTTTTGGAATAACATGCACTGATAAACAATTCTCAATAAGACCAATAACATGTAAGTCAATTCTGAGTTCATGCTGGCTTTCATACCTTGGTGCCGCTGTAGAAGTCATCTGCGGTGCTGGCGTTCATGAAGCTCTCGTTCAGGTGAACACTGGTGTCAATGCCACCCGGAAGCACCAGCTTTCCTGTGGCATCGATAACCTTGGCCCCACCTGGGATCATCAGCTCCTTTCCCACTTGCTGGATAATGCCGTTCTCGATGTACACATCTGCTTCTTGTGTGAAGTCATCGTTCACCACTTTACCTCCCTTTATGAGAATGCGTAACGTTGCTGAGCTGGAAGACATGGTTCAACCTAAAAAAAAAATTTAAATCAAAAGACAAAGCATTGATGTGTATTATATAACCCTATAGGGTCGTTATAACTCATTCAGTAATATTTCATATACTAATAATTAGGGATGTAACGATTCACTCAACTCACGATTCGATTCACAATTTTGATTTTATGATTCGATTCGATTCACGATTTATTTTTTTTACAAAATGAGATTTAAGACAAATTATAAATTAAATGTTTCCTTTTATTATTGCTTGGAATAATAAAAGGCAAACATATTATTGCTTCGATCAATCGGAGCACCCCTAGTTTTTAATCTAAATTACATTGTATAATTTCGAAATCTCAAGCAAAAACGGAATGGTTTGACTTCAGTTTTGTGAAACTATGCATAAAAAATATCTGCATGAAACAGAAACAGCAGAAGAGCTGAATGAGACGCAGATTCACTCTAGTGTTGGGTCGTTCAACATCCTATAGGTTCTGTACTGGAATTAGTCAAGTAGTTCACCTGTTTAGAGTCTTCGGGTTTTTCGAGTCATTCGTTCATCACGTGACAGCCCCATAAGTTTAACCAATGCAGTCTGAGCCGGAAAGAGAATTGATTAATTCATCTCTCGAGTCTTCGGGTTTGAGTCGTTCGTTCATCACGTGA